CAAAGCAAAAAAGACCAAAGCTTTTTGAAGCCCAAGCAGTTGCCCAAGGAAGGGAAGGCTGTGTGAGCCAAGGGCACAGAGGCTCTCATGGCAGGCATTATCCAAGTTTGATCCCATCGAAGCAGCATTATCCAAGTTTGATCCCATCAGAGCAGCATTATCCAAGTTTGATCCCATCAGAGCAGCCTGTTAAGTTAATTTGATAGGACAGCAGAGTTAGATGGAGGGAGCTTTATGAAGTTCCTGTGTCTGGACTTCACATGAGCACAGTGCCAGGTTCGAGGTGTTTGTAGGGGGGTCAGGAAGCAAGCAGGGATCAGGATTGTGGGGCAGGGGGTATGGGGATGCTATTTCTGCCATACTCATCATCCTACTAAGAAATTTTATTAGCTGTGACACTGAAAGGAAACTTGACGGAGGACACCCATCATTTACAAGTGGCATTTCTATTCCTATGGAGAATTCTCTGATTCTCTATGTTCTCCGAGACCACTTGAATAAACATGTAAATTTTCCTGTGCAAATAAGAAAATGCTTTCATGGTGTTTTGTGTGATTTGAACTGCAGTATATGCTGGGATTAGCCTCCAGCTCATGCTCTGTACCACATTTGTACAAGCTTGCTTCTCTTTCATAGCTTTGGTACATTAGGGAGGTTGTTAGCTCTCTCCATGGCCAGGATCCTTGTTGCTCCTCAGCCGGTGAGGGTCAGTGAGGGCAGCAATGGCACTGGGGCCTCAGCGGGATGGGGAGGCTCTGCTGAGGAGGAGCTGCTGACTCGGGGCCTTGGCAGCAGCAGGGAAGGGTGGAGGGTGTTCTGCTATTTATAACTGATTTAATTGAGGCTTTGCAGGGGTGTGGAGCTGCGAGAGCAGTTGCTGGCTGGGAATTTGGCTGGAAGGGTGGCACTGGTGGGGACATGCTGAGCGGCGCCAGCCCCGACTGTGTTGCGTCCTTCTGGGCCGAGCCGGGCTGGGCCGGGCTGGGCTGGGATGGGCTGGTTTGGTTTGGTTTGGTTTGGTTTGGGTCAGGCCGGGCTGAGCTAAGCTAAGCTAGGCTGGGCTGGGCCAGGATGGGCTGGTTTGGTTTGGTTTGGTTTGGTTTGGTTTGGTTTGGTTTGGTTTGGTTTGGTTTGGTTTCGGCCAGGCCGAGCTGAGCTAAGCTAAGCTGGGCTGGGCTGGGCTGGGCTGAGGGGACACACTCAGCACCTGCCCAGCACCCCTGCAGCACCCAGGGGCTCCCAGTGGCCCAGGCTGCCTGAAACACAAAAATGGGGCCCCTTCCCTGAGGGGCTTCTCTTCTGTTAAATAACAAATTTAGCACCAGCTTCCAGAAGGTTCTGGGGGGAAGCCTGGGAAAAGCTGTGGCCTTGTCCCCACCCAGGCTGGGACAGGCACAGGGTGAAGCCTGAGCCAGGCTGGGTGCAGGACATGCAGGGACTGCTGAGGGTTTCTGCCTGGGAGCATTTCAGTGCCTCCTTGCAGCATTAATTTCTCTGGCAGAAGGTCCCTGTGCTCTACCTGTTGGTTCTTGTGGGTTTTTCTGTCATGTAAATGGTGGCTGCTGGAGTTAGTGACTCAGAGAGGATTTATTTTCCCTCTCCCAGGAGATGGGTAATTGCAAAGCAGCGTTTTTGGGCCTGTTAGGGGAAGATTCCTTGGAGACACTCTTATCTACTTAAGTTTATAAGCTGACTTTTATTTCATCTGCAGATTCTCCTTGCTGGAGACAAGGTTAATGTTTAGCTCTGGAATCTCCTGACCTGTTCTTTATTATCCTTGCAAATGACTGGAAGAAATACATTTGAACTCAGCCCTCTGTGACTCTAATTGTGAATTTTGAGCCCCAAGGCAGTGGTTGTGTACCTCCAGCAGCAACTCAGTGGTGACAGAGGCTGAGCACTGTGTCTGGAACACTTTATTTTGGGATTGCTTGGTTTAGCTTTTTATTAATTCTCTAAAAAGCCTGAACTCAAAGGAGCCCCTAGGCATGCAGTACAAAGGTGGAGCCATCCAGACTTGGTGTGGTGTGAGCACAGCACAGTTCTGTGTCCACTGCAGGGGAGCCAAACCAGCCCAGCCCACCCTCCATCCCCATAAACCTTTCAGAGTTGGATTTGTCTGCAGGAGATGGAGCTGCCTCTGTCCTTTATGGCCCTTAGCAAAGCTCTGCCAGTGTATGATAAAAGGGCCATCACACAAGTGGGTTGGTGGTTTTGGAAAATACACTTGTTGTGAGAAAATAGAGCTAGATCTGTTTTGGTGAAATGCTGAATTGTTTTCAGTTTGAAGGTGCTCCCATGCTCTGTTGAGCTGGGGGTGTCTGTTCCAACAAGTCTGGTATTCAGCAGAGCTGGGGCACTGCAATCACTCTGGTGGCACCATGAATAAGAGAAAAGCCCATTTATGTCACAGCACATGTACATATCAGACAGGATTTCCACTGGGGTTGATGATGGATGGACACTGTGTGGCAATCTTCCTTTCTCCCCACCCCAATTCCATTATCTCTGCCATGAGGCCACCCCAGAGTGCTGATGGGGACAGTGCAGGGCTCTGTGGTCACACAAACCTCAGGGTTGTAGTTTGGTTTATCACAGTGTCCTCACCCGTCACAGCCTTCCTGCTCCCTGCCCCTCAGATCCATCACTCCTGGATGAAGCCATGAGATGCAGGAGAAAGGCAATCCCACTGAGCTGTGGTTGAACCTTGGGGAATTGCAACTTGGAGACTTTGGGAGGGAAAGAAAGGCTGGAAAGACCATGAGATGTTCAGGCCATGCAGAGTTTTGGGTGTCCCCTGCAAGCACTGGAGTGACAGGCTGGGAGAGGGCTGGAGCCCACCTTGCTCTGGAGCCTGAGATGGACAGAGCATGGGGAGTTTGTGGCAGGGTGGATGCTTGGAAAATCCTGGGTTTTAGTGTGGGGTTTCCACTTGTGCTGAGTTTGGGAGAGTTGTAATGAGTTTGGCAGCCCTTAGAGGATGTGTTAAGGTGAGGGCTGAGCCATGGAGGGGCCAGGCCTTGGGCTCTGACCTGGCCAATGAGGCCTTTGACACTTGGACACACACAGAGCTTTGGAGATGGTCTCTCCAAGCAGTTTCATTTCACACCTGTCCTGCAGGGTGAGTCTCCTGTAGCAGGGAACAGAGCCCTGCTGACAGCCCATTTGCTCCAGCACTTCTCTCCAGCTGCCTGTGCTCAGGCTCCTGCATTCACAAGGCCCTGTTTAAGCTGTTGAACACCTCTGCTGCTGCCCAGATCACAGGAGCCACTTTTCAGCACAGCACCAGCACCAGAGTTACGGGCAGTGACACTGAACTGCATTTACAGCTGGCAGTAAAATGCCCCAGTGCCCACCACCAACCACAGTTAAAAATGTCTCAGTATTAATCTGAATTTGCCTGGTTTTAACAACCATCTCCCTGATCTTTTTATTTGTTACAGCAGCATGCTGAACCCTTTTCAATTTGTCAACACCCTCGGATGGGTGCTATAAAATTTTAAACCTCTGCCTAAATCACAGCCCTGCTTTGTGGACTGCGAGCCAAGTCATCCTCCCCACTCTGAGCTGTGCTGAGCTCAAAACCCAATAAATAACGTTAATCATGCCATCCATTTCCTCCACAGGGAGCGACTGGTAAATGGTTATTAATTCAGTGATAAATTCTGATGCCTCTTTCCCAGTCCTGGCAGTAATGTCTGGTTATATCTCATGATTTTCAGGAAAAGCAGCGCCTGCATCTGCTCTTTTACTGCGCTTTTGTTCATTCACATTTTCTTGGCTGCTGCAGGTTTCACAACCCTGGTGTTTCCCTGCCGACATCCCTTCCCAGAAGTGTGAAATCAATCGAGCAGGAGCCGTGCGGCCGCAGCCTCCCTCAGCAGCCCCAGCCCCGGGGCTCCTCTCCCCTCCCTCGCTCTGATCCTCTCCCGGCTCTAACAGGGATGAAGGTATTTATGTTATAAATGAGGTGCGAATTTCACCCTCTGGAACGTGATTACGACGCAGGCTGTCATCCCAATTCCCAAATATCTTTTAAAAACGGGATGAAGCAGCTCTGGTGTGGGGGCCAGCCCAGCCCCTCCACGATTCCCAGCTGCCCTGTGCCTGGCGGAATGCGGCGCTGGGATGTGATTCAACGTCTGTGCGAGCACATGCTGATGTCTGTCAAAGATAGCGGCTGCTTTCCTGTGCCCTGCCTGCGAATCTGCTTTGTGCAGACAGCTGGATATTTATGAGTTTTATATTTACCCCACGGTCGTGCAGTTTTGCTGTTTATCCACCAATTTCCATTGTTTTTCCTTTAGTGGGAGTTCTCAGTGCGTGGGGGAAGGCGTGCAGCGAGGAATACGTCTCTAGGCACGTAAGTACCTTCCTGAGAGACATTAAGCATATGGATGACACACTCCCAAGTTTGGTTAGAGGCAGATCCACATGCTGAGGCTCAGCTCTTCTCTTCACAACATGTAATTTGGCCAAAGAGATAAAGAATTGCAGTAATACAGGCAATATACAGTCAGCCCAAGCAGGAAGATTTTTCACAGGAAATTTCCAAATATGTGTTAACATATATTTCATTTCAAGCAGTGAGTCTAACACGAAGGCAATCCTGTTATTTCTGTTCTGGAAAGCATCCAGTACCCTATAAGCCTTCTAAAAAAGCAGTGTGGCTCAGTCACAGAGGGAGTGTATTAGTGCAAGCGGCGCGGATGTTGCTGACTTGGCAATCAGCAAAAACATAATGAGCTCCTTTAACCAGGGAATGGAGCAGCCTTCCCGGAAAGCTGCTGTGCCCACTGCCCTCCCCATCCACTGAGCTGCAGGTGCCTCTGGTGAGAGGTGAGGAGGCTCCCTAAGTCCTTGAGAAATTGATTCAAACTCCGTTTATGACTCTTTTTTTCTGGAAGTTGGCAAACCATCCTGCAGGTCCCTCTCCCAGCCTGCCCTGAGGAATGGCTGTTATTGAACAGCTCAGACATAATCCACCATGGATGGCTGTTCCTCTGGGATTATATGGATCTGGAAATCCTAAAGATCCAGCTGGGTTTGGTGGACCCGTAAATCCTCACTCTTGCCTGCTGCTGTCAACATGCCTGTAGGATCCTTGGCTGGGGTTCAGCAAGATTCCCTCCATCCCAATCTCCCTTTGTGATTCCCACTGTGCCCAGTCCTCCTCCCCTTCTCCCCACCACTGTCGCTGCTGCACGGGAGACACAAATATGGTCACAATCAGACCAAGGCAATACAGCAAAGCAGCCCCAGCAGGAGTTGGCAACTCATGGAGGTGTGTTTGCACACCACCACGAGAACGGCCCCATGCACCCCATCCCAAACTCAGTGCCCATTTTCCTTCTGCCCCGGGGGACATGGAGCCTTTTTCCTTTGCTGTGTCCTCCAACCTCCCAAGCAAAGCCTGCTGTGGTCCTGGTGCTCACGTACCTCCTGGCAGGCTGATGGGCCCACAGCTCTTCTCTTTGGGACTCGGCTCCTGCATGAAAATCCGCTTGGTGCAGAGTCTCCAGAGCCCGAAATGCGCCGCCTCGCAGCTGGTGGTGTTTTCCTCCAGGCTGGGGCTGAGCACGGCCCAGTGGTCGGTGACCACGGCGGCAAAGAGCAGCGAGATGCCCACCAGGATCACGGAGAACGTCAGCCGCACCTTCAGGGGTTTGCTCTCGTCCATCTCGCTCGGCACCGGCGCTCCCGGCCGAGCGCGGCGGGGGATTCGCCAGGGCCCCCGAAATCCTGGCACATCTGAGAGCCTGGAAATGTCAGCCCCGGGCCTCAGGCAGCTGCTGGGCTGTGTCAGGAGGCTCCCCGTGCACAGCTCAGCTTTCGGCCCCGTCCCACCCGGGTTGTTTTGGATTCCCACGCCCGGCCGGGCGGGCGCTGCGGCCGCCGCGCAGGGGCTGAGATCTCTTCACTTGCTGCATGCCCAGAAATAGGCATTAATAGGATGATTAACTTTTCAGCGAGGTTATAAAAACAGCTGTGTTTATAATAGTGCTGGGCCTGAGTGCAGACTGATCCTAAACAGCATAATAGCCCTGGAGCTGTCACCCCACGCCTGCAGCTCGCAGGAGCTCTGACACGGACCTGCCTCCATGTCCACCAGAACTGTGAGAGCCCAGAACTGTGGCAGAGAGTGATAAAATAAGGCAACTACTCTATTTGATTGCTTTTTAAAACTTACAGTTATTTTTATTCTAAGCTTTTATTATAATAATTTTTAGTTAACCTGAACTCTTCTGAGTTGTTGGGGGTTTTTTGTGAGTTCCATTTTTTGTTGTTGTTGTTGTTTTTGCTTTTTTTGTTGTAGGGTTTTTTGTGTCTTTTTTTTTTCTTTTTCTAATGCAATATCTCTCAAATACTCATTTTCTTTCCTATCAACCAGGCTTCCCTTGATACCTGCAGTAACTCCAGCAGCCACCCAGCACATCCATTCCTTTCTCCAGCAGTGACTTCACTTGCCTTGAGCCCAGATTGCTGGAGCTGGGCCAACCTCTCTCCTTTCCTTTGATATTTCAGCTGATTGTAAAGCCAATTTGATGGGAATGTCAATGCAGAGGCCACTGTGGAGGTGACATTACAATTGTGATGTCAAACTGAGGAGGGTGACAGTACCTGAATGTTAAAAGAATGGTTAAAAAAATGCCAGTGGAAAGCTGCAAATATCATTGTGTCAAGATAATGTCAGAGCTACTCCAGTCCTGCTTTATTAACACCCCAGTTTGATGTCAAAATAAAGGTGCAGAGGTGTCAGCTCAGGTTGATGAGGACAGTGTGGAGCAACAAATTAATGTGTAGGGAGAGCATGGGAAAGGAAGAGAAAATAAAGTGTAAGTTAAAAAATATTGGTCCAAAAGAAGTAATTGAAGTATGGCTTGGGTTCACATTACTCTGCTTGATGTGTGGCAGGGATGGCTGAGACACCCCTGTGGGCAGAGGGACATGTGGCACCCAGGATGGCATCTGGAGCCCCATTCTTGCTGAGATGTAGGAACTGTGGGCAGGAGTGAAGGTACCTGGGGTAAAATTGGAGGGGAAGGGAACCAGGGAGGGCAGTGGGGACATGGAGCAAGGCAGGGACCAGGGACCACAGGCACATCCATGCTGGGCTGGCAGAGATATTACAGGCTTCCATTTAAGCCAGAACCAAGAGTGACAGCAGAAAGACCTAAAGGGAGCAGACTTTAAGCCAGAAAAGAAAAGCATTAAAGATGTAATGCCTTTTCCTTTGAAGTAGACTCTTGTTAAATTTCACTAGACATCAGTTGATCTCAGGAGCTGCATCTCAACTTCAATTCATTGATGCTACAAACTCCACAGGTGGAGCAGAGGGAAGTGAATATGTTTGCAAATGTGGGCACAAAGTGAGGCTCTGGTTGCTGAGACATCAAGTGCTAATGATCCTGCTTTAGACTAATTACAACCTACAAGGACTGCAGGGGTGGGAACTCATTAATTTTGTTCACCGGTGTTGGTCTTTGTGCCTCTTCCAGCGTTGGCAAGAATCACACTTTCTGCTCTCATTTAGATCCTTCATTCTGGAGAAGTTCTATGGGTTTGGTTTGGCTTTGAGTTTCCTAATTTCCAGGAAACAACTGGAGTGAAATCAGAAGTGAATAATTGATCCTTGCCTGCTGCTGAGTGGAGCTGGGAGTGTGAACAGGCTCCAGTGAGCCCCAGCATGGGCAGCAGTGTCTTCCCAAGCTCACATTGCTGCAGCTGAGGTGAAAAACTCCCCCAGCCCCCCATAATTACCTAGAGCTGCCAGCCCATGGGAAAAAAATGGGTTTTGTGTGTTATTTGTGGGCATTTGGCAAATGCAGAAACAAAAATTTCTGGAGGAGCACAGGACTAAAGCAAACCCTGGAAGTTTTCTGCACATCCAGAAGACCATGATACCTCATCCTCTGGGAATCGTTCCTGCAGCCTTCCTCTTTCAGCTGTTAAATATTCACATTTAAAAATCAATATAATATAAAATATAAACAGATTATTAATGATGACCTGTTGGAAAGCAGGGAGGGCTGCAATTAATTGCATTTTAGCAGCAGCAAGTGAGGGACACAATTCTGTTTCTCTTCTGCAGAAAATGCCAGAGGAGGCATCCGAAGCCCAGTTACTGTGTTGGTTTTTTCCCTGGCAGAGGTGGTGACTTGGCTCTGCTCCCCAGCACTTGCACTCTTCTGTATTTCTTTCAGAGCAGCCTCAGCATTTACCACAAGCAGATTAAGCTCACTCTGTGGCTCCCTGCTCGCAGAACATTGCTCTGCAGAAACCCATCCCAGTCAGAGTAACCCGGAGAGGGGGAGGCAGCACTGCTCTGCTCTCAGCTCAGATGGGGGTGCAGCAAAGAGCTTTCCTCAAGCAGGGTCTCCTCACCAATATTTGGGCTCCCCAGCCTGCATTGCCCCAGTGTGCTGAGAGCACTGTGATTGGGGAGGGGGCTGCACAGCCAAAACTTGGGGATGCCACCAAAGGCACTCTCTGAAAGCTCCCCAATTCTGGGGGGGCAGTCATGGAACACAAGAGCTGAATGTGTTGAGTTGTGTCTGGCTGCTTTATTTTTCAGTAGAATCTCACCCTGCTGTGTGTAGCTGGCCATCCCTGCTGCCCCTGGGAGTGACCCAGAGCTCCCAAAATACCGCGGGCAGAGCTGGGAAAGCGATCCTGGCCCTGTGAAAGCTGAGCTGGGCTGCAGACAGATGCACAGCCTCTCCTTTCCCTTTGGAAACAGGCACTGCCCGTGTCTGTTGGTTCTCTCATTCCAAGGAAATGCCACATCCTCTTTTTCCCCCTTTCCAAAGCCTGTCTCTGCTTTCCCCCTCCTCCAACATCACTTCTCCCAACACCCCTGTTCACAGTGGGGCAGCCACAGCCCCTGGGGTCACCATTTACCCACAGACTTGCTCATAAATGTGGGCAAAACCTTTCTTTATTTCAAAGGGAAGCAGCTTTGGGCCTGAGCTTTAAATGAATTCACTACCTCGTGTCAGAGGCGTGTGAGAAGAAGAATCCTGCGGCTCCCTGCAGACGTGCCAGTTCATGGTGAGCCTGGGAGAGGTGGGCAGAGAAGGCAGCCAGTCCCCATCCTTGAGGCAGTCTGGAGGCTGAGGAGCTGGGAGGTGAAGCTGAAAGAAGTGTTTGAGGAAGGAATCCTGTCTGTGATGCGGGGATGGCTGGGGCTGGCTGGCTGGGGAGAGGCTGCTCAGCTGCTGACCCATGTTTGGCATGTGGGGCCAGCACACGGGAGAGATCAGGGAGAGGAGGAGGCTCCAGGTGAGCTCATAAGAAAGCTCAAAAGCTGGAGGAAGGCTCAGGCTCAGGGAGGTGCTTCAGAACACTCTGGGTTGTTTTCCTCAAGGGTGGTTTGCAGTGGCCTCTGGTCACCACACCAGGCTCAAACTGGGCACTGAGACACAGTGTGTCTCATATGGGACAGGTTTAAGATGGAAATGAGAAGGTTTTTCTTAATTTCCAACCAAATAACTGAAAATATCATGAAGATAGCTTATCTTGGAGATTCTGTGGTCTCTGGGGCCACAAGAATAATTTTATCTCCTCTGAAATACTGGTGCTCAGTAACATGGCCAGCTTCAATCAGTGAAAAACATGAAAAAAACCCCCTGAAATCTCAGCTCAGAGAATCTGGAAATTAAAAATCTACATACCTTTCTCCACACAAAACCAAATACATTTAAAATGGTTTATTTAAAAAGTAAGGATTAAGTACATTATACATGGTTGTGATTATACCAGTAGAACTGAAGCACAGTGGAAATAACACTTTAGAACTGCAGACAGAAATGTAGCCTCAAGGGACATGATATATTAGCCCTTGTGGATATGTGATCCATACAGAGAGAAAAAGAAACAGAAAAAATAGTTTATTGTTAGATGTCTGGGCAGCTGAAGTGATTTCTCCTTTTACTCCTATTGTGTATGAGAAACAAGGAAGAGAGAGCTCATGGTATACCTGAAGTTTTGTTTCTTGGAAAATCAAATCTGATCCAATAGCTTTTTTTTTTTTTTTTTTTAGTTCTGTTTCTACAGTGTGTTATATACCAAAAGACTGATAATTGCTAATGATATGGTTTTATGGTATCTGCAGGCCTTGCTGGGAAATGGGGCTCATTTGTTAGATGCTGTCCAGGGAAACCAGAGAGATGTGGAAGAACAGATAATTTTTTTTAAGCTATCACTGGGTGGTTTCAAAGGCTGAGCACAATCTGACTCTGTTGAGATAGATCAACCATGGAGCAAGACTGCTCATGGGCAGGAATGCTGCAAATTTTTCAGTTTTGTCAGAATCAAAGTTTTTCATGGAAAAGGACCAGGGTTTTGAGTTTTTTGAGGGTTTTTTTGTGGTTTTATTTTTGTTTGTTTGTTTTCTGGAGTTGTCAAATGATTTGTTTTTGGTTTTGGCTTTGGTTGAACAATTTGCTGCACTGCAACTTAACTGCTGAGTTTTCAGTCGCAGCCCTCGTTGTCTCACAGGAGAAAAGCTCTGGTCCCTGTTATGTCCACATGACTTTGTTCCCTGTCCAGACCCCATGAGCATCTCATGATCCCCCCTCCAGCTCCATTTCCTGAAGGTGCCTGCTGGAGAAGGAGCAGATGCTCCAGCTTGGACCAAATCAGGGCATCACTCCTGGAGAGCTGCTGGACCCAGCCCTGCCCCGGGGGAGGAGGCAAAGAGCAACATCCCAAAACGCTCAGCAAGACTTTCTCTGCCAAAAACACTGCACGTGCCTCTGCAGGGCTGAGCTGGGCTGGAGAAAATCCTTGGGCTTTGTCTGGAATCAGATGGGTGGTTTGAAGCACATTCACTGGAGAACGACGACTAAAAGAACAAAACCCACGCGCGAGCAAACCTGACACTGTCCACTTCCAGTTCAAGGTACATGAGATTAGAGAAACAGCCTATATCTAACTCCTGGTTTGAAAGGGAATGGTTTTATTCTTAATTACAGGAAACACGGATGAGGACTTAGTTCTAACTATTAGTTTTTTAACACAGTGGGAAACAAATAGTTCTGGGAAATTGCACTTGAAAAATACATTGACTATAATTAGATGTAAATTAATTAGCACTTAGTATGACACACTAATGAGACAGAAGGTTGGATTTTTTTTCATTGCAAACTTCTACTTCTATCATAGCTAATCAAAGTATTTTAATATTACGAAGTCTCAAAAAGTAGGAAATAATTTATTGTTTGAAAGCATAAAGATTCTTGTAAAAAAAACCTTTCATCAAGAACTTTAATAATTTTAGAACCCTTTTATGTTGTCCTAGCCGAAAAGTAGGTAAAAAAGTTTTCTTTTCTGCCTCTGTTTGAATTTTTTTTAAAAAGCTTGTGTAACATCTTTCTCCATAGTGTGTTGATACAGAAAGTAGCACAACATTTTCTAGTTTTAAATCATTCCCATCGCTCCATTCGCTTTAGCTCTCAGAGTTCAGAGGTTTGAAAAAAGGATCCCAGCGGAGTTTTAACCTGAATGGAAACTCTTAATGAGCAGGGATGAAGGCTCCAACCCACCCCTGCCAAAATAACGATGAGGCTGTGCCAGGCTGAGGGCCAGGCAGAGCTTAACAGTGACTAGGGGAAGACTCTCGCTTAAAATTGAGAATTGTGTCTTGGTTCTTGCAAGGAGAGAGGCTTGAGTGGGTTTCTCTGGGGGGAGAGGGGTTCAACTTCCTTTTTGGGATGTTAAGGCAGCTGCTCCAGGATTTCCCTGGAGGACTTGGTTCCACTAGCTGAAAGCCTCATATCCAAACCACCACTGAGTCTGACTCTGGGGCCATCAGAGGATAAATTAAGACTAAAGAGGTTTTAACAGTTTGGCTGAGATCTCCCACTACCAGTGACCCAAACTTTCCAAATTATGGATTTTTTTCTTGTGGAGTGTTCTGCTAGCAAAGATTTTCTGGGTGAAGATGATGGGGCTATTCAGAGGAATCTACAGGAATTAGATGCTCCTCTCTCACTGCATCTAATTCATCTGAGGGGAATCGGGCACCTCATTCTCATATGGCTTGGTCGAGTGGTCACTAAAATCAGCATGAGTACTATTAAATTAAATTACCTTTGAGTCAGGCCATCGAGCTTTGAGATCCAAGCCTAAGTATAAAAACTGAAAGCAGGAATTTATAAGAAAAGAAAATAATATTCAGACTCTTTTAGAAACAGACAGAAGCAAAGGGTACAAATTAGTTCCCTCCTTACGTGATGCATAGAGTTTGCTGTGGGCTCTCTGCACGTAAGTAGATGCATCATTACAAAATAAATTAAATTAGGTCAAACCACCATTTCCATCTAAAAGCAACTATACCTTGCACCATGCGGCACTTAATTCATAATAAAAAGAGTTTAATAAATATCTCATAAACGGTGATTATTTTTTTCTCTTTTTTTTCTTTTTTTTTTTTTTTTTTTTTTTTGTTCTGTTTTAAAAAATACAAAGTTGTCATCTGCTCTGCTGACACTCGGCTCCCGTTGCTGCGGGAAGGTTCGCGAGTCCGGGCGCGTTCTCGTCTGGTAGCTCAGAGATCTCCGTTTCCCATTCCCTCCTGGTTGCTCAGAGATCTCTGTTTCCATTCTCTCCAGGTTGCTCAGAGATCTCTGTTTCTGGCTCTCTCCAGGTTGCTCAGAGATCTCCATTTCCCATTCCCTCCTGGTTGCTCAGAGATCTCCGTTTCCCATCGTCTCCAGGTTGCTCAGAGATCTCCATTTCCATTCCTTCCTGTTGTTCAGAGACCTCTGTTTCCATTCTCTCCCGGTTTCTCAGAGATCTCTGTTTCCAGTAGCGTTAGTGTTGCACTTGTGAAGCCGAAGGGAATCGGGGAATCGGCGGCGGCTCTGCCCTGCTCCCGCCGTGCTCGGGCAAATCTCCAGGGGCTCCTGACAGCCAGCACTCAGCACCTTGCCGGATCAGGCACTAGGGCTCGTCGAAATGAGAATTCAAGTTTTCTAAACGTTAGGCAAGAAATGATGCTTGCAAATAGGCTCAAGTCCCACCTGCTTTAATCTGTTTCCCTTTCCAGGTGTTTCAAGACGCACCCACCCTCTGCTCCTCGGCCTGTGCTGCCCCAAGGGATGCCTTACCCCAGGAATGGGAGACCCCCTTCCCACCCCATCAGAGAGTCTCTAACGCTCAGTACGTGGGTGCTCTACGGTTTCAGTGGCACAGGTCAGTTTTAGAAAGTGTTGCCTTCAAAAATATTTTCTTTTTTTTTTCTTTTTTTTCTTTTTTTTTTTTATTTTGAAAGAGGCAAAGCTTACGCCGTGTTGAAGGAAAGTGGCTCACTTGATGAGTAGCTCATTTTCATCCTTGGGCTTGGTTATAAATTATATTTGCAAGTTTGTATTAAGGGATCTCAATATTAGAAAAAAAAAAAAGTACAACAAATTTTCTGTAATCCTTTAAAACACACTGGTGGCCAGTCCTTTGCAGTTTCTCCAAGACTGTGTAGACACTACAAAAGTGCAGGAACATGAACTGCCTTCATCTTGTGACACCAAGAACGGAAATAAACAAACTCCAAATAGCTTCAAAAAAAGCTACGAGCGTGTAAATATCTTTATGTTGGTCCAGAGGATCTCCACTTGCTACCTCAACACATGCCACAATTAAAGAGGTGAGAGGGTATTTTAACATCACTCCTGACAGATCCATTCTGCTTGGGCATCTCTTCAAAAAGCACGAGGAAGGAAGGTGCTTCACACCGGCGTCGTTCTCCTGTTGACCATGTTGACGTGGAGTCCTTCCTTAAACTCCTTCTGGAGGAAGTTGTGGACCTGCAGGAAACTGGCTTCTTGGTCTGCGTTGTAGCTGGCAGCCGTGGTAACCTTCAAAGGCTCCCTGGAAAGGGTGTACATGGAGATTTCGTTCATGGGGATGGTGCCTGCTATCTTCATGCCAACTGGAGAAATGTCCCTGGATGGAGAAGGCTCCGTGGAGCGAGAGCTGGATCTGGACCTCCGCCTCCTGTACCTATAGCTTGGCATCCTGGCATAAGGAGAACTGGAAGAAGTCTTAAGGAATTCCCTCTTGGTCTTAAACCTCAGCTCTTTGTTCTTCTCAATATAAATGTTCACAGCCAGAACACCTATGGTTTCGGCCACGATAAAAGACAAGGCTCCAAAATAAAAAGACCAGCCATAGTTGTAATGGTTCTTTTTGTCCTCGTCTCGCTTGTCACTTGGGTCACCTGCATTGCTCGATATGTAGACAATGATCCCTATGATATTACTGAGACCTGGAGGAAGAAAAACATAAATCAATGTTTATGTTGCTGGGGAGATAAAATTCAAGCCATGATACTTTCTGGACCTGAATGGTTCTAAGACTGGGACAAAGAAATTTTATTACATTTATTTACTCTTACATTTATCTCAAGGATTCATTTATTCTTGAAAAACAACCAAAAGATCAACATATGGATCATGTGTGCTCACATGGATCCTAAAATACTCAGCAGGACTTTTCCCCATCTCTTTGCTGCCACAGTGGAAAAGCAGCAGCTTGTGGGAGCTCACTAATATTGTGAGCAGGATTCTAACATCCAGAAGAATGATAAAAATACATTTGGAGCTCAGGGCTATGGCTGTTCACCTTGATCAAAATAAGTTCTCTTCCACCTTGCTGAATTTTCATCTAAATGCTGCATGCTTAATCCAGGCTGCAGGGAGAGCCATTAACAATGGGGCTGACTCTCTCAGATGTTTCTAGTGTGAAAAACGGGCTCACCTATCAGAGTGAATGTTTTCTGCCTTCATATTTAAAAAAAAAAGGCCCTAGGTATAAGAGATGCCTGACTCATCTAATGTTTAATACATTTTAAATAGTGTAAAACATGCTTGTTACTGAATTTCACTTCTTTTACAGGAAAACCAAATGCTTTTCTAGAATATACTTATTGTGGGGCTTCAGGAGCATAATTTTGTCTTGAGAAATTTGCCTGCTGTGGTGCTGTTAATGCACTCAGCCCAGGAAAGGGATGCAGGGAAAGCACTGCCAAGGAGCTTTTCCAGAGTGTTTTCCATCTGAAAACAGCAGCACTTCTTAAGAACTCAATTTAAACAGAACATACCTGCTGCAACAAAGAGAATCCCAGCGCTGAGAATAATGTTGTTTTTGCTGTTGTAAATCCTTCCTGCTCCGACACAGAGTCCTCCCAGCAACAGCAAAATTGTGCTTAGGATGGGGAACACGCTGGAGGCACGGACGATGCCTGCAGGGACACAGGGAGGGAGGGAAGACACAGCAATCATTCTGGGTGCCTCCTCGGGTGCAAGTGTGGAGATTAGAGTCTCAAAAGCACTGTTTTTTTCCTAAAATTGTTAAGAAGAATGATTTAATAGAACCAGAGGATTGTTAAGGTTGAAAAAGACCTTTTAGATCATCAAACCCAACAGTGAAACCAGCACCTCCACTGAGCTATATCTTTGAGTACCAGCCACATCCACACATTTTTTGCACATAGTCAGGGATGCCTGTTCTAGTGCTTCATAACCCTTTCAGCAAAGAAATTTGTCCTAATATCTAACTTATTATATTTTTTAATTCCTTTTTCCTAGAATTATCACTGATTCTGCATTTCTGGGTATGTTTTTGGGACGAGGGAGCCATGAGGTGACCAGTGTGACACAGACTCTCAACAGAGTGGCTTCAATCTTTTGAGCTTTCTCCCAGGAAGTCCAGCATTATTGGCATTTTCTGATGCCACCGTGTGCAGAATATTTCTGGCAAAGCATGAGGTAAGTGACAGTAAGACCCAGCACCACGCAGGGAGCAGCAGTGAAAAATTCATGAGCTGGCTATGAACCCTACAAGGTTTGGGACAGCTGGAGCAGACGGATCTGTTCCGTGGTGCACACACAAGGTGAGCAAATTACAGCTCTTGAAGTCAGCAGCATCCATGTTGCCAGCAAGCACAGCTAATAACCCCTTTTTCTTTTAGTGGATATTAAGGACATCGAAACCTTTCAGATTTCTAAGGAAGGAATTTTAACAAGTGTGTTTTAGATGTTTGTGTTTAGTTCCCTGACAGCAAAGTAGTCATTTAAAATTCTCCATGCTTCAGTCCATTCATCAGCGTATAAAATCCCCCACAAAAATATTAAAACACCACTTCAAGCCAGCTTTCAAAGTCGGGTCACAAGAAGACAGAGCAGCAATCGACAGGGAAGCAGCAGGGAGGGAACAAAAGGGCTGAGAAAAAAATAAACAAGCATGAGAAGAGAGTAAAAACCAAAGGGGTAAAAGCTGCCGGGGGTTCCTGAAAGGCAGAGTGAGGAACCGAGTTTTATTGCTGTAGAGAGAGGATTTATTTTTTGAAGAAGGAGAGATAAGGCGCTGAACACTGCTGTGGAAAATGGGAAAATGGGATCCCCCTGAAGCCGGGGAAGGGCGAGGGCACGGAGGGGAGCCCCGGCAGAGCGAGGGGCGCCAGGCTGGGGGGATCCCAAGGCGAGGGAGGGTCAGAGGCTGCTGTGACAGCGGCACGGAGCCCCTCAGCACCGCGGGGCGGGCGGAGAGGAGCCAGCGCCATCCGGGCCGTGCGGGGCCGGGAGCGCCGCGCTCCCTCCGGGCGCATCCTGCTGGCTGCCACGCTGGGAGCGGCAGGAACGGGCAGATGTTCCAGCTGCTGCTTTCCCATTCACTGCCCATGGCCCTGGCGTTCCCGACTCACTGAATCGCTTCCTGACGATTCCCCTGGTAACTGGTGGCAGAGCTCCAGCGGCTGCGGAGGGACGGGGATGGGGGCTCCGCTCACTGAGCCCCGCTCCGCCCGGGGCTGGCGGGGACGCTCCGGACACAAACCCAAAAAGACAAAGGCAGCGCCTGCCTGGGAAGCTTCTGCCTGTATCGATCTGTAAGAGCGAGAAAAGTCCATCCTTTCCCAAACTGGCAGCGTCGCTGCACGTGTCCTTCACAGCTGGGGCATTTTCCAGCCGGATCTGAAGCCGGGCCAGGCGGGCGCATTGCTATTCAGGCAGCGTCTGGCAGGAACTGCCAAACGCCACCGATGGGAGTGGGTGGAAGGGCTCTGGGCAAAGCCTGCTGAGAGGCGAGAGCCTGTTCCCTTGGCCTGGGTGTATTCCTACATGAGTGCTAGGAATTAACAGCACTTGGCTTTTGGGTCAGTTTTTTCAGTCAATTGTTAGAAAAAGATTCAAAGTCAGTCTCTGCTGCTGGACTTTAAGGCATCCCAAATCTCTGTCTGTCTGTTTTTGTGCCCTGGGTAAAGGCTCAAAATCGCCTCTGGCCCACCCTTTCTGGATATTGTTTCCTGCACTTTATGGTCAGGATGTTTATAATGATTTCAGTTAAATCAAGGAGCTTTCCCAAAATGCTTCAGTAATATCATTGGAAGGAGCTTTGGTCAGCGATATCATTGGTCGGATGCACCAAATATATGGGATGGGTTGTTCTATTTGTTCTATTTCTACTAATAAATTTCAGAGATAATTTTTCTATAGTAGGTAATTAATGAGAAGAGAAACAAAACACACAGTGTTCTCTTCCTGAAAAATTCCACAGTATATTTCTTTCATACAATGTGTAATTTTAGCTCTGAAATTTCAAAGGAAGCTCATAAGGTACCACGTAGAATTTACATATGTCTCCTGATACTGGTAATAAAGTGACAGCACATCAAAAAACATTAAGGCAATCTGGTTTTTGCTTTCTCCCTGGCTTTTCTCCCCCCCTTGTTTACCGTCCTGTCGGTTCGCATCGCCTGCTGCGCACCGCTATGTGCGGTGACACCTCCTCCGGTGGAGCCGCTCCTCCCCATGGGGCTGCAAACCCTGCTCGGCTCGGGCTTTTCATCTCCGCAAAGGCGGGAGCCGAGGGAATGGCTTTGCAAAGAGGATGCTCCGACATGCAGCGAGGAAGGGCACGAACGTGTGGAGATGCCCCCGAAGCGGGGTCCCCCTGCTCGGAGCAGCAGAGCCCCGACATCCCCAGCGCACAGCGAGGATGAGATGGATCCCCCTCCTGCCAAGGGAGAGGAGCCGGTGATCCGGGCTGGATGGGAACAGATCGGGTTCGGTGTGCCCAGAGAGAGCAAGGAAGGAGGAGAGAGGGAAGGAGGAGAGAGAGAGAAGGAGGAGAGGATGGAAGCAGGAGAAAGGGAAGGAGGAGAGAGGGAAGGAGAGGATGGAAGCAGGAGAGAGGGAAGGAGGAGAGAGGGAAGGAGAGGATGGAAGCAGGAGAAAGGGAAGCAGGGACAGGGAAGGAGCAGATAGGGAAGCAGGCGATACCAGGGAAGCAGGAAAGAGGGAAGCAGGGACAGGGAAGAAGGAGACACGAGGGAAGCAGGAGAGGAGGGAAGAGGGAGACAGGGAAGCAGGGGAGAGGGAAGCAGGAGAGAGGGAAGCAGGAGAGGATGGAAGAAGGAGAGGATGGAAGCAGGAGAGAGGGAAACAGGAGAGGAGAGAAGCAGGAGAGAGGGAAGAAGGAGAGAAGGAAGCAGGAGACCAGGGAAGCAGGAGAGAGGGAAGCAGGAGAGAGGGAAGCAGGAGACACCAGGGAAGGAGGAGACCAGGGAAGCAGGGGAAAAGGAAGCAGGAGAGAGAAAAGCAGGAGAGCGGCAGGAGAAAAGGAAGAAGAGAGGGAAGCAGGAGACACCAGGGAAGCAGGAGAGAGGGAAGCAGGCACAGGTAAGCAGGAACAGGGAAGCAGGAGACACCAGGGAAGCAGGGACAGGGAAGCAGCAGACAGGGAAGCAGGAGAGAGGGAAGCAGGAAAGAGGGAAAAGGAGACACCAGGGAAGCAGCAGAGAGGGAAGCAGGGACAGGGAACCAGGGCACGTTTGCCACTGGGGATGCGGTGGCAGCCCAGGGTCCGTGCTGGCACTGGGACATCTGCTGCTCACTGGGGCCCTGCTCAGGCATGTGAGGGGGATTATTTTAGACACACAGATGGGAGTGTGTTGCCACGGGGAAGGTTCAATAGGAAGGGTCTTGTCTGAGCTCCTCTGCACGTCTCAGCTTGTCCCACACTGTCGTTTGCTTGGTTTTGTAGGGAGCAGCTTGAACACCAAAGGGCAAAATCCAAACTCCTGCCTCTACCCACTCCCTAGACCAAAGTTTCCCAAAATCAGTCATTTTTGTCACTGATTTTCATGGGGTTTTGAACCAGGGCTTGATCCTGCAAACACTACAGTGTTTGCATTTCTCTGAAGCCCAAATTAAACTGGGGGCTGTGGAAGAGGCTGAGACCCCTCACGCTGCTGCTTCAGGAGCACAAAACACATGAGTGTGGGTGCCTTTGCCTAAGCCAGGCAGGAAAAATAAATATTAGTCCTAACATGTCCCTCTGAGAAACTGTGCCAAGAAATGGCCAGAAATAGTGGAGAATGGAGCCAATAGACTGCAAAAGTGTTGCAGAGGGCAAAAACAGGACAGAGGCTGTCACGTCCCTGTGAAACAGGATGCAAATATCCTGCTGTCTTAGACAATGATTTGGTCCCTATTACATATAGGTATGAGCTCATCTCCTCTGGATTTAGACATGATACCTTTCAGTAATCTCTAAATCAACTCTGTGCATGGGAAATTGCAGTTTTCTTATGAAAGTTAGAGCCAAGGAGCCTTGTCTTGTGCAGACTTTGAGAGGTGAGCTCTGCTCTGCGGGGGAGACAGAGACTGATTTTGCAGAAGACATAAAGGGTTGGACCAACTTGTTTTTAAGATCTGTACTTAGTCACTTTTGCAAACAGCTTTTAGGAACACCCGTCACAAGCACACTTACAAACAATTTACCAGTCTCGTAGCTTAACGTGGAGCTGGAGACTGTTTTTCCCAGTTCTCACTTTTCTCCATATAAAGAAGGCATAATGTGCTTTTATCATGATGCTACTTAATTCCTCTTTCCTTTTACTAATGATGTTTGTTTCCTAAAGCTGACTTGGCATCAATTTAACATTAGTTCCAAGGCTTTTTATGAAAGATAAATGCAGCTGTGCTCACACTCTGCCTTTGCCTGAGCTCTGAAATCGTGTCACCCGGGTGCTGTGACTGATCTAAATCGACAAGAGCAAAGAGGAAAAAAACATCTGGGTTTTCTGGTGAGGCAAACTTTTCAGAGATTTTTTTCCCTTCTTCATGTCTTAGCAACAAGAAGTTGTTGCCCAGAAGTGAGCAGAAGGGCAGAGTGGTTCTCTAAGTGGTGTTTGAGGTAATTAATATTGTAATTGAGGAGTTCTCTGCTTTGCCAGCAGCGTTGGTCTGTGCTCCCTGATTTCCCAACACCTTGTGAGCTGCAGCTCCTCTCCCTGCTAAAGGGCACTGCTTTCAGCTTGGCTGCTCAGCTCTTTTGTTCACGAGGAACAACAAGGCAAGGAGTCCTCTGGGGAAGGGGAATCTAACTCCAACTTTGCAGGCTTCATGGTTGGGTTCCAAGACTTGCCATCAGTGGAGAGAATGGTCAGGTGGAGGGGATGAAACAACTGCCCTGATTCCAAGGCCCAGGTTGGTGGGTGGGATCCCTTCTGGGGGGAATTCCATGCCAGAGTGGAGCAGCAGTGGCTGGCTGGCCAGGCAGGGAAGCCATGGCCCCTGATCATGCTGGGATTTTGCTGTTACCTGCAGAAATTTCAGCTTCCTTCCTATAGTGCAGTGATTTCACTGCAGGGGGATGTGGCTCACCAGCTGCAGAGGCTGAGGCTTGAGTAAGGGTTGGGTTTAAGCATTTGGTAAAGCTTCCTAATGGGCTGGAACCCACTCCTCAAACCTGTTTTGTTACACTAACCCTATAAATACTCCCTCTGTAAAATATCCTTGCAAATCTGGGCAAGATAGCTGCAGTTTTCATTTGAAAATTTGTCATATGATGTTTAGACCATCTGCACCAAAATTGTGAGCATTCCCCTGGAAAAAATCCTTGAAACCCCATGGCAAGAGGGTTGGAACTAAATGGTCTTTAAGGTCCCTTCCAACACAAACCATTCCATGATTCCATGACCTTGAAGTGTGGATCCCAGGGGTGGTGGCTGTGTCAGCTGCTGCATGAACTGGACATGTGGCACCACTGGGCTGTGCTGCCCAGTTTGGGCCAGTCTGCAGTGAGTAAAACTGGGGTTGCCCTCTGCAGAAGAGAAGCCCAGGGAAGCCCCATCTGTGTGTTAGGTGTCAGTGCTCACTTACGGAGAAGGTACTCTGAGCTGTCGTGGTCGTAGTCATTGTCCTCAGGGAAGTGGTTGATCCGGAAACAATGTCCTTTGTAGATTCCTGGATGGAAACAAAGCAAACAGAAGCCATAAGGAACACAACCAGGCAAATGTGCTTTTTTTAACCATCTCTGAAGTAATGAATTTTGGGCAGATTGGCTGAATGAAGAGACAGCCAGGATTCCTGGGCTCTTTCCTTCAGCCACTTCTATCATCCTCTTGAGATTTTTAATCTCTAAGTGCTTCACTTTATCAGCACTGTGCTTATCTTACAAGCATACTGAGTTTGCAAAGCTTCTTTTTGTTCCCAGAGTGGCTGTCAGGCTGGGTCCCTGCTCCATGGCTGGGGCTCCCAGGGCCAATCTCACTCCCATCACCCTGCCCATCTCACCACAGTGAAGTGCCAGTAAATGCTGAATTGTCTGAGCCCTCTTCAATTACTCTCTAGGCTGCAAAAACAAGTCCATAAATCTCTTCCTGCTGCAGTTGAAGCCCTTATGTCCCACTCAAGGTTGGCTCAGCTTTTAATGGCATATTTGTTTAGCTAACTGGGAGTAAAGTCAGGGCACAGCATGCACTCCTGATGCACTCCTGATCCCTGGAGGGACAGCACCAGAGCTGGCTGGACAAACCCCTTGCTTCACTGGACACCTCAGCACTTTGTCTGTGTAGGTAAAGCTGTCCATGAGCATTTTGTGCTCTTTCCTGTCACTGTTACCCACAGTGTGAGCTGCAGCTGGGTCGCTGTGGCACCGGGAGCTGCACGGGGAGCTCTCCCCAGAGAGCTTCCTGCAGGAGCGAGCCCTGAGCTCTGATTGTGCCGTGCTGCTTTCATTATTCATTAACCAGAGCTCTCCTGCTCGGGAACACATCACCCAGGCTCAGTTATCCCTGCACAGGAGCCTCAGCGCTTACAGCTCGAGCTGGCAGAAGGATTTAAAACCCATCACTTAATACTACTTTAACAGAAGCACAGCTGCAGTCTGTAGGATATAAATGTGGATTTATTTCACTACCTATTACCAATGATTACAAAAATCTCAAAAGAATTACTAATCCAGAGGATTTAAATTGCACCCTGTGAGTGTCAACTGCAGGTTTGCTACTACAGCACATTAAATTCTCCCAGTAAATGATGTATCAGCTCTAATTGCAGCAGCAGCAGCTCAGGCTTTCTGTGCACAGCACTTCAAAGGCTGTGGGGAACAAGATGCAAGTGGCTCATGTCACATCTGGGAGTGACACACCTGTCCTGGCTGCCAGGTGGGGAGAGCACTGCAGCTGGGCTGCTCCTGCAGAGCCTGTGCATCCACAGGGGCTGCTGCTCCTCAAGGCAATGCAAAACTCACATTTTAAAGATCCCAGTGTTTATTTTCATGGCAGTTCACACAATCACCCCTAGCATTACAGAGCCTCTGAGACTGGATGGTCATTTCATCAAGTCTCTCCATAAAGGTGTGCAATTTACAGGAAATACATTCACAGTGTGATTTTTATTCTCTCTATTTATTAAGGAAAAATCTAAATAATTTTCCCATCCTAATTTCTGTGGAAATAGGCTTCTCAATGATTGTGTTGTGTGTGTATGGGTGGGGCCACCTCAGCCTGCACACCTTGTCTGTCTGTAGGTGTTGTGTTCTGTTGTGTTCTGTATCCTCACACTGACAGAAGGCAGGGTTAGAGGAGATAAAGGGTGAAATTCCTCCCTGTGCTCAGAGAAGCTGTGGCTGCCCCATCCTTTGAAGTGTCCAAGGCCAGGTTTGATGTGGCAGCCTTGGTTAGTGGAAGGTGTGGGTGGAACTGGGTGAGCTTTAAGATCCCTTTAAACCCAAACCATTCCATGATTCTGTGGTCCTCCAATAAATCTAAATAATTTTCCTCCAATAATAAAATAAATAAATAATAAATTTCCTCCAGTAATAACCTCCAGTAAAGGTTAAGGTAAATTGGCTGAGTTTACCCAGAGCTGATCTAAAAGCAGAGGCATGGCAGGTGACTGAGCTGCAGGGCAGGCAGGGAGAGGCCTGAAGGAGGGAGCTCAGTGTCCCCACCACGGGCTCCTCTTGCACGTTCCCCGAGTGTGGACATGGCAACAGCCCAAACAAACACCTCACCCCAGAAACTCCACAGATGAGGAGTCTGCAAGACTGAAATATTCCCCAAGCCTCTTGTGTTGCAGCACTGATGGACTGATGGGCTCTGTGAAATGGCTCAACGTAATTGAACTGCTGAGTGAAATGGGCCCCTCAGCAGAACTTTCAGAGAGGCCATGAAGCCATTCCTGCCCCAGCAGGGCTGGAACGCACCAGCAGGACAGCACTGGTGAGACCTTCATTTCCTGGCTCTTCTATTTACAGCCTCTCACATGAAAGAGCATTAGCAAGACTAGCAGAGGTAAAAAACAGGTTAATCAGAGGTAAAAAACAGGTTAATCACCTCTCTGCCCTGCCCCCCCCCACCCCAAAAAATTTAAAAAATCTGCATGAACTTGAAAGTTCCTTTCTATTTTCAGTTTTTAGGAATACTGGGATTGGTCATTATTAATTGGTCATTATTTATCTGGCTAAATTATTATAGAAATTGGAAATGACTGTGAAATTTGGACCTGTATCAAAGCCTAGGAATTCAAAATATTCTCCTCAGTAATTTTTATGTAGTTCAGACCAGAGATACTGGTTAAGGGTCCTCTCTAGTGTCTGTGATGTTCGATAGCTAATAACAGCAGCAGACTGAATAACTTTTTTTCTATAAACTTAACAAGTGCAATGTAATTCAGCAACAGCTTATTAAACTCTCAGCAAGGCTTGAAGTTGCTATCAAGACCTCTGGTGATCTACACAGTGTTGAGGCCTCTTTCAAGCCACAAAGTATCTGAAATAAAGGCTTGCTAGGAAAAGTAACAATACTTCTTCATAAGGATGGACTTTGAAATTCAGATTTGGCAAAAATTAAAAATTAAAACTAGCTGGAGAAGCTACTGAAGCAGTGGTCAGCTCTAAAAGCTGACAGCAGAGTCTGAGTTGTACTGATACATAAAAAATAGGAGCAAGTCAAAGCTGGGCTTTGGTGGGATATTCATCTCCATGCCCTGGCATGTAAAGCAATGCATAAAGAATAAAAGTCATGGAATGGCAGAGGTGGCAGAAAAGGAAAACCTCAATGAAACTCAGTAACAATCATTCTGCAAGCACCTGCACAAGGGCTGAGCTGTTTGAAGCTTTTCTCCAAGGCTTCTCAGGAGCTGCCCTGAAGAAATGTGCAGGCAAATGTGGCCACAGGTCCACACTCACAGAGGCACACAAAGCCATTTCCCACCAGGAAAGGATGTGGGACAGAGATTTTCCTTCTTGCCTGAGTTTGGGGATACAGTCCCTTACATCCTTGGGAGAGGAAGATGGAATATTTAACTCCTACTGCTGTACCCACTAGAGAGAGAGATAAATAAACTGCAATCACTGCCTAACAGATACTAAAATATTGAGAAGCTCTTCTGGATACCTCTTGAGAGTGAGATATAATATCCCACTGAGATGCTGTAAGTATTACTTCTTTCTTTGAATGATTACTGATACGTTTTTAATGATGCTTTTAGAAATACAAATATTAGAATGCATTTTTTCTCCTCATAATAACAAAAAACTTTGTTCTGAATTTTGAGCCAGGACTTCAGGATCTGCATTAATGATAATGAAGAGGTAAATTTTCTGAAGTGCTGTTGATGGTGTTAGAACAATTTTTTTTTCCACTGGTTGCAGCATACTTAGCTGGCAATTAGGAACTAAAAAGCATTTCTGACTTGGTTCTGCTCTGTGTTCAAGGGCTTCTCTGGCAAGGTTAGTACTTCCCAATCTCACTAAGTGTTGTTCAGACAACTATAATTAGAGTGTGATGTACTCAGATAACATGATAAGGGAGGCAACTGTAGTGCCTAAGTGAAGATTAAGCTTTGTTTTGGGCTTTGAGATCTCAAAATACATAGAGATTTCAACAGCAAATCAAAGTAGTGATCCCACATTCTGATGACATCCTGCCTTCTCCTTGCTCTTTCTCAAATAATCCTTTAATAATCCTGCCTCTACCACTGCAGATTGTTCTTTGGGTTTTTATTTTTTGATGATTGAGAGTGAAGATTAATGCTTAGGATGTAAATGCTCGTTAATTTGGTAGCCATGCATGATCCTGTTATTGTCCATACCATCAGCCATGTCTGAGAACAGCCATTTCCTGTGGTTAGTGTTTATCAATGCCAACATTCCCTGATGCCCTGGAAGTGTTTGCACCAACCAGCACCGGAAAGCAGAGTCCTCAAATGTCTGACAATATTTGTCAATACAAGGCTGTACTTTTGTTTTCTCCCTGCCCTGATCTTGAAAACTCTACACAACAAGATCTTCCCATAGCACTACTGCTGTGTTGTCATTTAAAATAGGTTTCCAGCACTGCAGACTGGAGCAGCTCTGCAGCAGAGGGCCCTGTCTGCAGGGGACTTCTGTCAATAGGGATTTGTGTCTGCCCGTGCTGAGCAGGGCTGAGGGAGGAATATCTGATAGCAGTGGGGGAGAGGGGCTGGGCTGCTCCCCCCTGCTCCATCACCTCCTGCACCCTTAACCCTTCCAGCTGCCAGCCCTCCTTATGCAGAAAACACTGGGTTTGGGACCTGGTGGAGAAGCCTTTCTTGTTTCCTCATGGGACACCAGACATGTGCAGTGTCTTGGATCCAACTCTCCCCTGCCAACACACCCCATTCCTGCAGCTCTTCAGCAGCTCTGGGGCACACACGTGCACACTATTAATAGTGTGAAGCAGGGGATTCTCCCAGAGGAGCTGCACTGGTGGGATGGGAGCTGTGGAATT